CCAGCAATATTTTAATAACTTTTAATATTGGTTATTAAATGCTTTTAACTGCAACCAGTGCAGATCTGTAATTCATGTGTGTTATGTTTTATATTATTTTATCTATGTATGCCGTCCTGAGGCCTTCGCGACAGGATGGCATATAAATATTCTAAATACATACATACATACATACATACATACAGAGGGAGTTTCTTTAGAGAGGACGGTTGTCAGATTCTTCATCTTTCCACATCATTCTGAAAATTCTAGGTGCTTCAGAAAATGGAAAAACAAGAGCCTTTTGCAGGAGCATCAACCTTTGTAAAGAGCTGTCCAAACTCCAATCCCTTCAGTAAGAATTGTCTTTGACAGAGCCATACACAGACACGAATGCATGTGTTTCTGTCAAAAAGTTATGGCCCACCACCTTATCTAAGCAGAGATCACTTGCAGCTTTGATTTCTCTCGACAGCTCAGCTTTTGACAGCTATCAAGAGAAAGCAATGTGAAAACTACACCTCTTTGCAGCTTCATGGGGTCAATGCCACTGTGGTGTAGTGGTTAAGAGCATGGGACTGGGACTCAGGCGACCTGGGTTCTAGTCCCCGCTCAGCCATGGAGCCAACTGGGTGACCTTGGGCCAGTCACAGACTCTCAGCCCAACCTACCTCACAGGGTTGTTGTTGTGAGGATAAGATGGAGGAGGAGAATGATGTACGCTGCCTTGAGCCCTTTGTAGGAAAAAGGCAGGATATAAATCGAAAAATAAATAAAAAATAAATAAATAAAAATGCCCATGGTGGGTACCAGCTGAACTCTGACAATATCCCTCTCAAGATATTGCCCAAAAAAGACTTGCTATTTAGCATCTATAGTAGTTAATGTTTGTTCAAGTCCAAATCATTTAAGTGTTTGAACATATTTACCTAAATTTCTTGCACTAAGAAAAATGGGGCTGAAAGCCCTGTGATGTGCTGTGTAGCTCACTGAAAGAGCTATCAAAACTGTCAAATGGAAAAATCACAAAGAAATCTCAAAAGAAAAAAGAATGAAGGCAGGAAAGCCACAGCAATCACAAAAAGGCTTGCAAACGTGGTAAGCTTCCATGGGGCAACTAGCACTGGCCTGACCCAGCTCAGCATGCAGCTTTTGACACTCTTGCCAAGTGGCTTGCTTGTTCACTCCCTCTCATAATGTACAATGGGGTCATGCAACCAAGTATGGCCGACATGATGACTCAATGGAGATCTAGCATCTCTAAGAACAAGCCACAGGTTGCTGGTATAGCTTGTTGCCCATAAACAACCCGCTCTGCAAGAATCAGTTCGGGTTCACATGTCATGATAACCCCCTGTGGCTTGGAACCCACAATGGGTTGTTGTGTTATGAAAACCCACTCAAAGGGAAAATTAAGTTTTCCTATTATGTTGCCCATGAAGAAAGCCTGGACATGACAATTGTGACAGGAGAAAAGAAGTTGAAATTAGGTCATAGGAAGTCCACTTAAGATAAAATCAGAGACCACTGACAAAATGAATCAAGCAAGAAAATCAGTTGTATTAAGTGTTCAAGAAGGAATCTGACAGATAAACCATTTTTAGGATGACACTGTTAATACATAAGGAGTCAACAGTCTATCAATACTGAAATTAGCACAAATTAAGGAAGCATTTTTACTACTTAAGAAAAAAGGCCAATGCAATTTATATAGCATTGCACCAAATGACTTAAGGTGCAATGCTATATAAATTTAGATTTTAAAAGGCCTACAACTCCCAGCATGCCCCAGTATATTAGTTTGCATCCATAGACTTTTACAAAGTATTTTTACAGCAAAAATCTATTAGCAGCACTTCCATCGGCCAGCGAGCATAAAATTTCACACCACACAGGGGCAGACAGAGAGCTCAGTTTTTGCAAAAACAAACAAACAAACAAACAAACAAACAAACCCCTAATTATCCACAAGGCAGAATTGTAGTGGCTTCCTATGCTTTGGGCTGTAGAAAGTAAAATACAACTCATGGTGCGTTTAGAAGGAAATGGAAAAGCAATTCAGAGGAAATGTTTTACAAAAAAAGGAAAGTGAAAAGACATGAAATAGTTCCCAACCAATTCTCATCTAGTTAAAAATTATACACAAGCAGGCAACAAAATATGAGCTTACAAAAAATTGAAAGCCTCAACCAATTAAGACTTTTTCTAAATGATAATGCCACAGCTTCAGCTCTATATCCATTAATTAAGAGGTCTATTGGCTCATAAACATATCAAGGATAGAAGTAGAGGTTGGCACCCACTCTGTACCTTTAGCCACAAACAGTAAATGTAGCATGGTACTTTGGCAGATAGGTGACAGCTGTAACCCATACTCAGGCATGGGAAATTCTGAATATAGAACATTTGTCTAATTAAAATATTTAACTAGCTTCAAAGTATGCATCCTTACTTTAAAGTACCTAATTTAACCTATTTTTAAAGGTTCACATGAAGACCTTAAATTTAGGCTGATAAGCTTAACATCCATTCCACACAAATTGGCAGAAAGCATTTAGAATCCAGCTATACAAATCCACCATATACATGGATTTTCAATCAACTGATAACATCCACAACATCAAAAAGTTTAGCTGCCATGACATGAGTACTTGGTTAAAAAGAAGAGAAAGGAAATAGAACTATGAAGTTACTTTTGACAATTTGAAAATTCAAACAATAGGGTACATTAGGAAGCTACAAGACAGCTAAACTAGAGATGGACACATTACCTGAGTTTGCAAAAGCTGAGAATAAATCTTTTATGTTTTTAGAATCATGAAAATCCCAAACAAAGCAAAGCGCTCCAAAAGTATCTGTCCAACTGGATAGAGAACAAAACAGTAAAATGGAACTTAATGTATACACAAAGTTGCACTCATTGAGAAAGCAATCCTGTGATCTCATACACAGTAATGAACACAAGTCTACAGCTTGGCTTACTAGTCAGTTTCAGTTAGTGTTCATCTGAAGCCCCCACCCCACTCCCACCTCAAATTCTCTGGCATATGCAACAAGCTTGCACCTTATCACATAGATGCCTGAGAAAGATAAGAAGAGCAGGCGAATGCTTCCTTATCTTCTCAGAACCACTGAAGGAGCACCCAGGGACAGAATGCAAAATGCTTGTCATCCCTTTCCACTATGCATCTTGGGATACCCCTGGAAATATTTCTTTGTCCTCATTAGCTCAAAAAAGGGATCCGAGTGCAAATCATGTCAGAAATGTCAGTGAGGGCACAATCCCATGTATGTTCAGGTGGAAAGATGCCCTACAATTCCCATAATTGCCTGGAAGGATTCTAGGAGCAGCAGGTCATCCCCCCTTCGACTGTAAACTGTATACAATACTGTGTGCTAAAACTATCCCATAAGAATGTAGAAGAAGTGCGAGAGCATGAGAAGCACTGTTAAGAAAGTTTAAACTGACATGGTATGTCTGGCACATCTACCTTGAGAACACTGTACACTTCTAGCAGAAAAAGAACTAAAACGATACATAAACTGGCATACCCTTGCTGCAGTGAAAGGCAAGTTTGGAACTTGTTAGCTTAGAAGAAAGCAACAATGGAGGTTTTTAACGAGCAAAAATCATTCATGCTTATTAATGCTTATTATCAGTAATACTTACAATGGCACTGAAAGGTAAACAAGAATTATCGCTGTGAAAGAAGGTAAGAATCACCAGCTGCCCAAGTCCAAACTGATAGTAGAAGTGAGATTTGAACTAGGAAGTTATTGATTCAGAGCTTATATGAACTACAACACAAATACTCTCTTTTCATGACAGATTAATAAAGCATAGGGCCTTCTATTATTTGATCTGTTATGTAAACAAAATGTTTCTTCCTGAAGCTTAATTCACTGACAAAAATCTGACAATACCCACATGCACAACGTTAAGAAACACTGAAACAAATGCACATAACTGCTTGCTTTTGTAAATAAGTAAATAAAAACAGGGTCCCAATTACAGGGACGTTTGGGTGGTTTTGATCTTCCTAGGTGCATCTGGATAGTTACAAAAAGCATCTGCCTGGATGGCTCAATCCAGCAAAGCCATTCTTATGTTCTTAACACCAATTGGAGATCCAAAATGAGAGGCAGAAATGTCATTCTAATCCACGAAGGCAGCAACCACGTAGTTCAGGAGAAGTGGGGAACAATTCTTTCCGCCACTAAATATGAGTAAATGCAAAAAAGGCATTCTCCCCATTAACAAGATACTCAAGTGTTTGACTTAACAGTAAAAAGAAACCGGGCCAAACTGAAAGCAGCAGCCGTTTGCTCTAAGAAAAATGGAAAATGAGCAGAAGTAGCTAAACCTACTTCAGCCATTCAGAAAAACACTCTTTCACGAGTACATGAAACAAAAACGGCCACTCAAACGACACATAAACCAGTCACGCCTCCGGAGAAGCGAGGCAGAAATAAAGCCTTCGTGGCCGCGCTGCAGCAGTCCAGAGCCGCGTGCGCCCTGCCACGGGGAGGGTCGCTTCGCCTCGCCCCGGGGCCTCCGGCCCGGCGCAGCCTTCCCCCGCCCCGTTCACTCCTACGAGCAGGACTCCGCCGACCAGCCCGAGTCACTTCCGGCTTGCGCCGGGAAGCAGGCGAGGCCACGGGAGCAGCGCCAGGGCCCGCGAGGCCCCTCACGGAGCAGCCTGCACGCGCTGCCCGGCCAGGTCGCCGCCGTCGCCCGCACCGGCTGCGAGGAGGCGCCGGCGGCCACCAACGACTTTGTTTACGTCCCAGGCCGTCCGGAGAAGGGAGCAGGCACGACGGCCGCCCCCTGCGGCCTCGGGGCCGCACGTGTCGGGGCTCGGAAGAGGCTCGACTGAGCGCGCGGCACTCCCGCGGCGGCGGAACCGAGGAGGACGAAGGCCGCCGCCTGTGCACCGTTTCCCGCTCGCCCCGCTCCGGCGGCCGGGAGCTCCCTCCCGCGCAGGCCTTCCCTCCGGCCAGGCTTCGGGCGCGGTCCTCACCTCAGGCGGGTCAGCGTCGGGGGTCTCGGTCCGGGGCGGGCGCCTGGCGGGAACCGCTCGCGCTGCTCGGGCTACCTCCTTCGCTCGTTCCAAAACAAAATGGCGACCGGAGTCGCGCGCTCACGTCGCGGCCTTTCTCTTCCCGTCTTGCCCCGCGGCGGACGCAGGGCCAAAGGGGGCGGGGACTCCGAGGCGCCGCTCGGGTTGCCTGCACTGGGAAGCCCTGCCCAATGACAGGCGCCGCGCTGGGGCCCGCCTCCTCGTCGCCAGCCAATCCTGTCCCTGTCCTGCACGGGCCGAGCCAAACTCTGTATTCGCACTTGCGCGGGCGGAGGGAGGCCTACACCGTGTTCTCAACTGGATACTTGGAGGGCGAGGGAAAAGACGGTACCCAGGAGGCGTTGCGCGAGCGGGCGACCGAACTCTGATTGGCCATTGCTCGGCCCCTCTCCGGAGGGGGCGTGTGCGCTGGGGCCAATGACGGGAGAGCGCGGCGGCCGGGGCGCCGGCGCACGCGCCCTGGGGTGGCTCGG